GTATTTCCTACATATCTCCACAAGTTAAAAATTGGTGTACTTTGGCTCGTTGAAGCTCTGAACGAAATGGTTCACTTTCCCAAGAGTCAAACTGTGGAAACAGTGCTCGGAAAATAAGGTAATATCACTAAGACTGACCACTAACGTCAATCTTATTCCGTGACGAAGGGCACTTGCTACGCATGAGTTCGTAAATCTGATTGTCTCTTTAAGGATTCTCATTTGCGACATGAGAGGTGACCACTCACGTCAGTCTTATTCCTTGACAAAGGGCACTTGTTACACATGAGTTCGTAAATCTGATTGTCCCTTTAAGGATTCTCATTTGCGACATGAGAGAATGATGGTTTGTGTCGGATGTTATCATTTCTAATCACAAGATATCACTGAGAGGAGACCTCAGGCACACATGAAAGGATATATCACAACGTATGTGCTGATCTACTTGACTCAGACAAACTTCTGCCACGTCCGTCCGTGTTCATCTATCACTAGTCGGCTGTTTTGTTTTGGTCACTGAATTGACAACTGAAGCAGCTCTCAAATTTTCCACCGCCAGTCGACGATCTCATGTGCTTCACTAACTCGAGGCTTCAATCATCCGGCTGTAAAAGGTTTACGCTCTCGGAAGTGTTTGCGTGTCATGTCACCGAGTACCTTTTCTGTGTTGATAGGTCTCGATGTTTTAAACAACATCTCCATCAAATATGCGAGATCATCCTGCATAACTCTCAAAGTCTCCCGAACGGAATTTAAAGACGATCCAGTGTCAGGCCAAGATAAATTTAGAGGTGAGGATATCTTTGGGACTTGCCAGAATTTGGGGATCCCTATGGATACCACAACATGACATCTGGTAAACTTCACATTGCTATTCAGGCATCTAGAAATCTTTTGGAAAATAGTAAAACGTCCTGAAATCAAAAAGGTATAGAGCTAATGACAGCCAGTCTACTACCTCCTACAAACCCTCAGGTTTGAGTCCTCCAGACTTTTGACTCAGCTAGTTAAGGATTTCAACGGAACTTTGTGCGGGTGGAAAGTGGTTGTACGGGTTGTTTCATCTGATGTTCTTTAGACACAGAGATCTTTAGGAGGAGTCACATCTTCAAGGAAATAACGCGTGACAACACAGCCAGAGCAACAATCACAGTGACACAAAGTGAAAAATCACCAGAAGCGGACATTTAAAAAGCATCCACCCAATAGTAGATAGCGGTTTTTCCAGCTTAAGAAAACTTTGAAAGCAGTCGATAATAACACCGCAACCATTCTGCTTAAATCACCGTTTTGTTTGAGTTAGGTAAAGACACATCGGTGCTCATCCGCCATGTGACGGAAGGCGGCAAGCGACATAGACAGACGAAGCCTATAAATACCCACGTACCAGCTGGGGTTCTAGTACGCTCGCAACCATCTGTTAAAAGATCAATTCATTTGGGCATTTTGTCGATTAGAGAATGCGAATTTAGAAATGTCCACATTGTGTTTATGTAACAAGTTAAATTCAGATGAAGATGTCGGTTTCTGAAACTTCAATAGTAACTACGATAGTTACTGGACTGGAGCCTCAAGAATACGGACGAAAAGCCACATAACTGATTCAACTTGAACAAACGGAACCAGTTAGGCAGGATCACCGTCATTACCTCTGTGATAATCACGACCATCAGGACAATATTGCAATGTTTACGTAAGGTCATACGCTTACTGTCTGAGGAATATGTGTTCACACCACTCTCGTTTGAACCCTTTTGGTCCTTTTGTCCTGGTGCAGTTTTCCCGGTTAGTCCACACCGAAGAGAGGAAGCACCAGACTTGAGTTTACTGTACTAGAAATTAACAGCTCTGCGTATACTTGGACACGCCTGAATTCAAACCTCAAACCCATGGCTTGATACCAGTACCATAGAAACGCAGGCTGGGTGAACATTGCTTTCTGTTTGTGGTGTGATAGCTTACCTAACATCCCGTCTGAAGTGAACAACTACAAGTATTCACCCAAATTAGAAGTGCCGTAAATGGATCAGTGGCTTTGAGTTAAGTTATACATAAAATAGTAGAACGAATGCCACAAATGAAGGTAAGTGGTCAGTTTGCATTAGACCGGCGCTGCATAGACCCTGTGTACTCAAAATGCAATTTTCTGAACCGGTTTCTCTAGATTTTCGTGTTCCATGACCCCTGTTTGATACAGACCAGTGGAATGTAGCCTAAATGCATGGATGAAGCCCTTCTATAAAAGACTAAATGATAAACACACAAACCACACAGATATATACAGCGGTTAGAAGGCATTTCCGAATACCATAGATATAGATGGAATAACAAGACTGATAAAGACGCCCAGTTCACTGCACGAGTGATCGATTTATAGTGCTTGCTGAACTCCTGTTTTCGATCTATCAAAGGCTGTTTTGGACATCGAAGTCATTGACTGGATCCACATATTGTAGTTTGAAGGAATGTAAAAGCAACTGCAACCGCTCAGTAGTCTCATTCTTATTCGCTACTATCACCGATTGTAGAAACAAAGCGTTCGTCTACCAAGGAGTGTATGGTGCTTTTGTATCTAAACCAGAATTTTGCGGACGAAAATCTGCGTTAATTGTGATCTGACAGAAAGGCGCATAGGTGAATTGAGACCGCATCTCACGGTAAATCACCGAAAACACTGTAAAGTATTCTGCGAATCAATCAGAACGGCGTTCGTGCTTCGCGTTTCTACCTCGGTTGTCTGCACAAGTTACGTCTGCACCAATTAGATCGGTGGTCAATTAGCATTCCGTGCCGTTCTGTCTTGTTGTCGATAATCAGGCTTGCGGTCAAATGACTTCTGGTTTTATGGTAACGGATCGATTTCGTTCGAGATCCATTTGGTCGTCAGTGATGACGAAAATTCTACGTGTTGCTATCATTTCCCACAAAATGAAGTGAGTTGTGAACTAACCTGGATCCGTCAGTACTTTAAAACGAATCACCTCTCAATGACGAGCACACCTTGGAGAAATTCGCCCACTCTAAACGGAGCAGTCTTCAACTGAAACCACGTTTGATTGGTCAACTGAAGATCTACACAGACCTACACGTCACTGTTCAGGTTAACTGATGAATGGCAGGTTTCCGGCTACTTCTTTTGTTGGAAGTAACCCTAACTCAGAGATCTGCCTGGTTTGAGGATCATGTTCACAATTTAGTCGTGTGGTTTTTAGGGCCCTAACTAATCCGAACAGTTCCAGACTTTGTAGGATATCCGTAGCTGCAATACATGGTGCGCTTGGAAGCGATTTATCTTCCAACAGTAAGGAATTGTAAGTAGGTAAAAGGTGACTTTCTGAGGTTATTGCACGAGAGACTGGCTCAGCAAGGTTTTTTTGGTTGGTCGCTCTGTTTGGCAACACCTGTGCAACCGAATTCGGCCAGGCCAGGCCACGCTCTGCCGCAAACGCTGACACGTTTAGAATCGACGGATGTACGACCATTTTGATTTTGAAATGGGAAGACCACCAAAGCCGTTATGTATTCTTCCGTTAGCCGATTGGTAACGAACTAGTTCCTGAACTAGTTCTGCTCGCTCAGTTCGTGTTGGATGCGCAGAAGTTCAAACCGGATAACGTCATGCTTTCTGAATTTTTTTCATAGGGTCTATTCACAAATGGATGCGTGGGAATATATCCTATGAAGTCAGATAGTCATGCTACTAGAATAAAAGCTCTGCCCTTATCCCGTTGCATGTCTTGTTGCAAGTAGCTTCCAGGCAAGATACTACTTTGACCCTGTCCGGATGAATTCAATAGACTTGATCGTTGTCTCTGCAATAACTAGTTCGATCTCAAATCTACCGCACGCGCCTGGTGAACCTAGGGACTGAAAACATCTTGGATCACGACCGACCACCACTTTTCAAATACCAGCATATTTCAATAGACACTGGCCACAGTTTGGAAGAAGAAGTGATGAATTTTCCTTTTCACCTATTTCAACTTCATCGGCGGAGTCTGCACTGATGTGGGTGACTGTTACACAGGAACGATTCCGGAATCGACATCTCATCTCAGTCGACAAGAATGGCTCTGTCGCCTGGCTGGTCGAGAACGTCATGCATTAGCTCGGTCTCAATGTAGTGCACAGAGTCCGACACTGGATGACGATTTTGCATATCACTGTGCCTTGGCAGCGTGTATGTGAGACATCCGAGACCAGTTCTTTTTCAAGAGAGTTGTCCGAAAATAAAAGTAAGCATACGCAGAACACGCCCATCTACATAGCGTTTTGGTTGTACTGGACGACTCTGCTGAATTCGATCTGGATCTCTCGTTCAACTGACATGGACTTTGTTCCGTACATTCGGTTGAATCAAATCACAACGGAAGATTTATCGGATTCTCCGGTAAGCATCATGAAGATCATCGTTCCCACGTCTCTTGGAATACGTTTCAGCTTCTTCATCATGTGCCATCAGATCCTCGCTTTCCGGGTTCATCAGGTAAAAGCTAGATCATTGGCATTTGCAAACGGCAACTTAACATTTTCTTCACTACTCATAGGGTTGCTGAAAACTCTCTCACAGCACACGAGCGGCTTCGCACAATTTAATATTTGAAGGAAACTCAAGGACTGCGCCTACGTGGTGAGCCCCAAGAAGGGAAAAACCGTTTGAAGGTTGTTGAAGAGTTTTAAGCAATCTGATGAGTAGTTTTCTTCAAGGAAATGAAGTTGATATGCTTATAATGCAAAACCTGAACGGAAATAACATATTATTGCACAGAAATGAGACACTTTTGTTTAGACATTGCTTTCTTATGAACATGGGTATAACTTCAATGGCAAAAACAGTGCGAGTCTGAAATATTTCTGTTTACTCCAGAGGACAGTTTACACATTGCCTGGATAACAACTAAATTAGGCAAAATTAGGTCTTTGCCGTAAACTAAAGCTAGCTAATGAGTTGGAATACTCAGAAAGCATACATTCTAGGGGAACCAAGACCACACACTTACTGCGCCCTTTACTGGCGTGCCTGCTTCACCAAAAACTCTCTTTCTGGTCATGCGCCTTCTCCGAAACATGTGTTCCAAATGCTCCGTCGGTTGGAAGTTTCGTTCCGTCTGTGATAGTGAGTATTCGTATCCATCCTCGTCGCAAAGTCGTCCCAAGTCGACATGCCAATCACCATCCCACGACCATCCTGGTTCTAAGACCATGCGATCTGGGGCCTCACGCTCATTCCCAATATCGTCCGTGTAGCATGGCTTAGCCGGCCGCCACTCGGTTTCTGGTGTTCTCGTTTCGTTGCAAAAGACTTCTTCCACGTAGGTGGTTTGTCCGGCATCCTGTTCAAGACAAATGCATGAGTTTTATCTTCAATGTTAAATCTTCGAGTAATGAGGACGAAACATAAAAAACAAACAAGATAAAATCGAACTGTGTGATTTCAGAATGTACTAACTGAAAGAAATGATGACAATCTGTGTAATTTCTCCAGTTAAAAACCAACTGATGAAAGTTAACAACCTATAAGATAGAGAAAAGAACCATCAGTTACATTTCTGGTAAATAGAGGGTATTTTTTATTAATGAGTAGTGAAAACCTCGAATTCTACATGGAGTTCATTCAGTTGTCTTGCTCCTTCACGAAGTTATTCCACTGAGGTGCCCAATGAATGCTAATCTATTCACATGGAGGAGATAAATACTTAGCATCTGTGTGATATTAGCATCTGTGTGATATTATAGGTCACTCAGTACAGTGTTTGAAGTTGTGGCAAATCTGAGGGATTTTGTTGGTGCCTACTTTTCGAAACTTTTATGTTAATCAGTGGTGCACAGCTACCCACCCCTGCAGCGGCCAGTGTTAGTCATTCCTGAGGAAATGGATATTGTAGAGGATGCATATATATATATATATATATATATATTCATTTGGATACATAACTCAAAATAACAGTGTCGTTGAGAAACCGTGTGAAGTGTTATCCAAGTAATTATCTGAGCATCATCTAGAAGTAGTAATTAAGCGGTATGTTTGTACCGTTTATCTGCGCGAATCCGGTACCAGTTTACAGCTGTTTGGGCGAAAAACTGATAACTGGATTTTGAGAAGTTGGATTTCACCATAAACATACGGACAAGGTTGTTCTTCCCAATTCCCACATGGCTAGTCTGCCACTAATTACCACAGAATCTATTTGCCCCAGTAGCCACGGAAAAGGCACAATATCACCCGAAAAAGGTATTTAAACTACCCAACTAAACAAAATGCTCACGAGTTTGCACGTTTTCACCATGTTTGGCTACCACAACAGAGGTGCAAGTTACGCAGATATGGGCAATAGTTCCCAAAGTGATTCCATCAACGCTCACCTGTTTGATGAGCACAGAGAGTTCCGGGTCCACGTACCAATCCCCATCCCAATCCCAACCGGCAGGAGGATGGAAGAGTTCCTTCTTCAGTTCTTTCTTGCCCGCACTGTCACTCCATGCATACCGTGTGAGTGGTGGTCTTCTACTGGAATAGCTCCCAAAAGTTGATGCCTGGTTTTCATACTAGAACAGCAAAAAGAACGCTGGTCAGGAAATTACGTTCCCGACTGAGGCAGCCTGTAAATGAAGTGATCTAGAACACTGTGGAGATTTCTCTCTCCTGCATATTAAGTAGACCGACCAGTAGATTAGAATATTATAAATAGAAGCAATAAATTGTCGATATCTAATCGCGAGGGTATTTACAACGTACAGTAGAATGAGCGTTGCCGCTAGTGCTGTTGAATCAGTTCTGAGTGTTTAGGAAACCTCCGTTTAGCACCAACTTCTGCAAGGCACGCAAACAGAAACAGCTACATGTTTTAGCTTTCCTGAGCATCCTTTTTTTAGCCCTTCCTTCTGAACCGGACACTATTGTTTGTGACATTCCAAATGTTCTTTGATGAATTATTTTCTTCAAACAAGACACCGAACAGGTATCCTGCGTATTCAATTGGGATTTCTTCCTACACGTTTCGCACTGCACAGCTGTTACATCTTTATTAGGACTAATCAGCAGCGCGCATATCACCAAATTCCAGGGATTTTTGAATCCCCGACTGATCAGCTGTGCGTGAATAACTGGCACTTATACAGCATACAGCGCCACTGGTCCTTTACTCACGGAATTCAAATCACATAGTCACGTGCTGACTGACTCTGCTTTTCAGCATAGATTGGTCTCACTTACGCAACGAAATCTTAATTTAGAGTCCTCTAATCTCCTCACATTACCATTACTATTTCATTTTGCCTTACTGTTTCTGCGACGACTCTTTGTTTTGCCTCGTGCAACTGTTCCTTCCATACGGCTTGATTCTTCTCGAATCCCAACCAAAATATTGCAGTCACTTGAACGGGGATGCGGAAGAATTTGTCTTCCGACTCGTCATACAGGCGCAGTTGCTGAAAAGAGAAGAATAAACAGATGTTCAAGGCCTGGCTGACTAAACATCACCACTGCAGGACAGAGTGGATCTACCATCTGGAAGAATGATCATAATGATTACGCTGTTTATAACGGACACCAAAGTGTCACCTGTAAAGAATCACCTATAAATAGGGGGACAAACAGTTTAACATTAAAATAGGGCATATTCAAACGCCTAATTCACGGTCAGTAGGCTTATGAAGCATTGTATATGGTGGAAAGTTTTTGTGCTACATATTCAAGTATTCTTTTGCCTTTGGCGATATAAGATTTGCAGACTCTGAATTCTGTCTCAAGAATCTGAAGAAAGCGAATGTCGGAATGGAGACGATCATGTTGAACCTAATGTCTACACATTGACATCTTTGTTTTGTTATTATTCTTGCCGTGAATAGAAACTGATAACCCTGAAACTTCAAGATTTTAAGTCGCTTTGGGGACCACGTATTCTACATATTAGCAAATCATCCTACACCTGTGTTCTATCGCATTTAAGCTAGTCACTTTCCCACTGGTTTACCATTTCAATGTTTCCAATCTTGTTCTTGCCCACGAAGTATGCGTGTATCAAAATGGCCTAGTATACTGGGCACCACTGAAGTCTTCGAAGGCTTTGCTCATGCACAAAGTGCTCACCAACCGACCTCAAAACTGGAACATCGAACAACTACCATGCTCTGGTTTAATTGCTCGACTATGTAATCGAAATTCTACTGCGATACACATTAGCTGCACAAAGCGGTCAACGCGCCGTCTCTGAATTCACGTATCATCTGTTTCAAGGCCCGTTTGTTTTTCAAACTGAGGTTGTTGTGTTCCACATCAGCTTTTGACAAACACGTCATCTAAACGGATCCAAACAAAAGTGACTTCAAATGCAACAAAAGACAACTTTCAATGGCTTGGAAAAACTTCAGGAAAATCCAAGAGGTCAATTCCTTCATCTGAATCCCCTATTCCTTAGAATCAGAGTCTGGCTGGTTAAGTTCATTACAAGACAAGACTTCGTGGGGCACTCCTGCTTGAGAAGAACGCGTAAGTAATTCTAGAATGACGGACTGGTCATTCACAGTTTAAAAAACAAAGACAGGTTTATTCCAGCTGTTCGGTTGGACTTAATCCCAGTGGTGTAGCAATACCGCGAAGGTCCCTAATGCCTGTGAGTTGCTGATGCGGAACGCGGGGTGTGGGTAAGTGTCAGTAAAAGTTTTGTCACATACCAATGTGGAGATGTCAATAGATTTTTTGTGTCGGTCGGTGCGAAGGTCCCTAATTCCTGTGAGTTGCTGATGAGGAACGCGGGGTGTGAGTAAGTGTCAGTAAAAATTTCGTCACATACCAATGTGGAGATGTCAATAGATTTTTTGTGTCGGCCTGTCCGTAATTTTGTGATCAGAAGGAGTGTACACCTGAGAGGGAGTTTAGTTTGAAAATGGTGTACCTGGTTTGCTAAATAACCCGTAATACCGCCTGTGTATACACCACAATCGAACGGAGTTCCTTCGGGTGGACTTTGCCGGAGGATGACCCTGGGGTTTTCTAATGCTGCCAAAGCCGACTGCTGGCTCACTATGGGCCCCTGTGAGTTCGTCGAGCAATCGTACTGCCCGGAATTGGTTGGATCGAACAGCACCGCACAAACCGTTTGCGTTATTCTGACTATGCTCACACATTCAGTAATCCCACCTTTGCTGCCAGAAAAATCCACATCAAGTATCAACCAGCTAATGAGCATATCAAGAAGAGTAAAACGTTCCCCATAATGATGCAAACAACGAATAACCGGATTAGTCGCTTCGACTAAATTTTGGAAAACGATGTGTTTTAATTCAACGCACATAGACGAGTTCAGGTTTGTCTCATGATGCATGTGATAGTTTTAGCAGGCCACATGGCTTCCTCATGCAGTTGACAAAAATAGCACAGCAATTTCACTAGACCTCTTGGTTCCAATGCTAGATATTGCCTTCTAACTGACCGAACGTGATCTACCAAGATAATTAAACCGCATCCTACCTTCGGTCCTTTGTGGATGGATGGAGGATTTTAAGACTTCATAGTCGATAGTGAAGATCTACAGTCCATGCGTAGAGATATTGAATTTGTTTGCCTGTCGACAAACCTGTTGTCAAAATCTGTGTCTGATGGTTCGTTTTCCTTGACTCCAGGGTCTTTACTAAAAACCTTGAGAAAGTTATGCGAGCTGTTGTCATGTCCGTACTATGCAACAAATCAAACGGCGATAGCTTACGTGCATGTCACCAAGTGGTAATCACCTGATGGCAGTTGTTTTTGCCGAACCGTTAGAGGGTGCAGTTAATCCATGGTGCGACAAAATCAACACATGCATGTGGTTACAGTGAGAATACATTCACGATAAAATCACAGCCTTCAGTATCTGATCTATTAAAATCTAAAGGTTTGGCGAAAAGCCGTCCACTCCCATTTGTCTATCATTTGATTTGTTCAAATATCGTCAACTATTCCCAAACAAAAATACTTCCTTCAAATTCCGCACATTTCCCTCATCAAAGCGTACCCAGAAAGATTCTATGACCAGTGCAGAGGTTCGACAGACCCGTCCCCTTTTACAGCCGCTCAATCTGACACTGTTTTCACATGAACCACATAAAATAACAAATAACAATGGTTGAAAGTTTTAGCTGTCACTATGATTAATGTATTCGTTCTAGCAACTGAATTAGGAAAGGAAACTTGCTTCCCGATTACTAAACCCAATACATTAGCAGAGCTATTCGGTATTTTACCCAGTTCCGGCCTCAGCAGGGAAGCTTCACGATATAGTTCACTCTGTGTGTGACCAACCGATGCCGAGAAGTTGGCAAGCACTGTAAAGGTGTTTCATCGATATTGAAAATCATCATCAGTGCATATTTTACGAATCTCAAGGGAGGTTGGAACCCGCCACCTCCCGGATGGTAGTTTGAACATTTAACCAGTCGGCCAAGATCCTCTGACGAGTAGCGCGATTAAATTGCGCTTAGGCAGGATACAACGCCACTAATCCTCCATTCGCGGAATCCATATTATGTAGTAATCTATTGACTGGTTCCTTGGGTAGTGACTTCCACATGGAGGAGAAGCTTATCGTGTGAATTCGTACGCTCTTTGAGTTACTCACAGATTATTGGTAGTGTGAGGAGATTCGAACGTTTTCAATGTAGAGTTTATACCGCAGGTTCTGTATCCTATCTATGCGATTGGCTTCACTTAAAGGATGTACTCTACATTGAAGAGTCCCAAATATCTTCGCACCACTAACAATCGATAGGAAGGTGGCCTCACACACAGCACACATCATATTATGCAGCAAAAAATAATGTCAGTAGAAGAATGCTACCCGAAGTTTGATCACCATTCATTCGGAGGGGAATATACGATCCTATTCAGGCAGAGTCTGACAGCACTGGTATGTGTTTCAAAACTCAGCCGTCATCACCTTTAGGTGCACACTGTGAGAAAGCATTCGGTTTGATATGCTAATATTTGTTTTTCGGGTTGTAATTGTACTCAGGGCACCACATTACCGAATGATTATCCGGTAGGACTCGGTGCTAAACGTGCTGCCTTGTGGTAGGTAAAACGGTCTATATTACGGAATACGATGTACGTTGAACCTCATCTGGATAACTGGTGCTTGTCTATCCAGTAGGACGATCGCTTATTGGTCGAACAATCCTTGACTAGTCGGAGTTAATGAGAATCTGGATCCAGCATTACAAAAATTAAGCGCATCAAATGTTTTTTATGTTGATGTCCAATCCACTTGGCTCTTTGATTAAACTGTCCTGCGATTCGATGTTTAAATCCAGCTTGGAAAAATCAGTCTTTTTTAGACTTTCAATGAGCTGCCGAACGGGACGCTCCGGTGAGTTGAGTGAATACAAAGCGTTATTTGCGTGCCAGTGGTGTACCAGCAGCTGTGGTAGTTATGCTGAGAATATCCGTCGCATTTTTCATTCCTGAGAAACCTGATAAAAACACCCACTTTCCGACAGAGTGCAGTTCGGTTTTAGTGCTCCCTGTTCATGGGGACTCTGCACAAAAACTGGATCCTGTATATAATGCCTCGACAAATAGTTCATATGGTCAGCCCACTAAGGCTGTTTTGGCTACGCTGTGAACCAAAGTCAGATCTCAACGCAAGTAGATGTGAAGGGGTCTTCCGAAATATGACTTTATAAACTACTTCTGTTTTCGTAAAGAAAAGGACATTCAACTTGACGAAAACACTTGAGTTTAACCCAGCAATAAATCTACCGATTGTCACCAAACATTTTCGAAAACGATGAGTTTAACCTACTTTAAAATTCAGAACTTGCGTCTTTGAACACTTTAGTCCGGCAAAGTGCGGTGTTTCGCTGTAAAGTACTTCGTGGGCGGGAATCCGGTGGTAGGCTTTGCGTTTTCCTCCGCTTAGCATCCAAATCACGATATCCGGAAAACTTAGTTGAGGCTGTAAAGCGGATGAACAGAGACAGATTTCGAGTGAATATGATCCTTTTAAAGTGCTTGTAAATGGTGGTCTGTCCCTCGTAAGACGGCTTCATTTGCCTTGGGCATAAGATGACCTAGAATTTGTCTTAAAAAGAGCACTGTGGTTTCACTATACGTCAAACACCCGCTATAACCTTCTCCCTATTTGCCCGATGTGTAGCTGGGCCTGCTTATCAGACGGTCAGCATATTCCCTCTTCCACCTTAAGTTAAAACTCTGAGTATCATGGCGACAACCAACTCTGCTCCATCGTAGAATTTACTCAGTGACTCATCAGTAACACTAACGAACTTTGATTATTGTCTCAAAGGTCAGATGGCCTCGGAGGAAAGGTGGAAACTGAGTGGCGCCCGTGATCAAGTAATGACTCGGTAAGATGGTACCATACTTATCCCATGCGACCTATCATATCCGCTCCCCTGTCTCCATCAGTTCGTTCCAATTTTCTTTAGCTACCTGGATCAGCTAACGTTTCAACCCTTGTGAGATTCATCCGAGGGGCACAGCACATTAAGTGGCGTTGAAAGTCAGATATAAACATTAAGTACCTGAGGTGACGTGAGGCAGCCGCGTTTGCTCCGATGGTGAGGCTCTCGGAAGTCACTCGTCGAGTGTCCTCCTTCGTGCATCACTTCACTTTGCATACTGCACTTTCGATCTCTGGAGTAACCCTGAGCTACATATGGTCAAATCTGTGTAGTTTCTTTGCATTTCAATCTTGAGGAATGAAACCAGCATATTATCCAACCACACGTCACCTTGATTGAATTGCTATCATGACGACTGTATAGAGAGCGAAGAAACGACAGAAAGATCTAATAGATTTCGCACCAAGAACATACCTCCATCGATAGTTGTTTAACTATGGCCAAGTATTCCTGCATCAGCGCCACAGCATCGTCTATTGAGGCTAAAGTTTCCCTGGCTTCAGCTGCGTCTTGACCAAGGCGAGCAATTTGGTCCATTCGAAGTTCTCTCAGGTGTCTGTCCATTTCGTTCACCGGGGAATTTTCAGGTTCCCAAGATGGAAGTTGTTTCCTGGAAAGAAAATCAAAACTAATCAGTCACAACTACCATATTCTCACAAAAAAAGCAGCACATCAACACTTTGAAGGCCAGATGAAGGTGAGATCTAGCACCTCAGTATAAACTGTAGTGCTTCTTCCCTTGTGTACGTTTTCTTGGGTTGTTCGGTTTTACCTTTGGTACAAAACATCAGTTGTCTGTGTTCTTAAGCACATCGTCAAGATGTATCGCCTAATCAAGAACAGTTCGATTGAACTCTGGGAGTTAGCATGTCTGTATAGAAGTCACATCAGTCCTTCATTCCCCCTTTTCGCAGGATAAACATGGTGCTACTTAGTGAACATGACCAATGAATAGAAGGCGCAAAGTGAAATCCTGTTGCTAAGGTCAAATGCGTTGGTCCACAAAGCACGCGAATAAATCAGATCACAACTGTATCTAAGTTTAGGAGTGACCAGCGTGTGACTGTGCCTTGCGTATTCAAGATCCAAGTCCAAAAGTGGGCTTCGGATGTAACAACTGTCCGCAGCAAGCTCACAGTATTAGAAGTAGATGGATATGGACTGAGTTCGTATCGACTTTTAAGAAAGCAAGGAACCCGTTCATGGACAGTAAGATTGCAACAAGTAGACGAGAATGGACAAAATTAGTAGCACAAAACACTGCAAATACGGATATCTCGAACTTATTTGACACGTGTTTCGGGGAACATAAAGCGGTAATTAGGTAGATCGGTGGAGTTTTTCACCAGTAGACAGGTTAACAACTCGATTCAAGATTTAGATGATGCACAAATGTGCTTGGTTTAGGGTCCCTGAATCTAGCCAACCTGGGATTAATCGTGGGCTTCAGATTTTCAGGTGCAGAGAGAATCAAAGTGAAGTGAAACGAGAGGAGCTATATGGTGGATTTCGTTCACTCTCTGGTAGGTACACAGCATTGGATCACTATTTTCCGTCGGAGTGTGGAATGTGTGGCGAGTGAATCTCAGAGAATCTTCTTGAACACTGATTTACCATCATATTGTATTCACAGTCCCGTTCGCGTTTCCTGTGGAAGCGTCAAAACAGTAAATATCTCCCAGAACTTTCATTACACACTGTACCGAATGCTTCCTGAGTGACACTCACGCGCAGTAAATTGCCACAGTTGGCAACATATCGCAATATTGATGAGACCGGTGCGTTAAGTGGCGGTAAACTAAGCGGCTATTGATTTAGAAACAAATTATAGCAGCAAAATTAGGAAATAACCACACGGTGTAGTCTATGTTTGAGCAGTGTACAGGCGGATGAAGGCAGCTTTCACTTAGAGCTTGTAGCTCAGTGGTTAGTTAGATGAATCCTCATACAGGACATTGTTATGTCAAGCTATCTGCTGCCGTGTCGAGGTCACATCTACTGCCACAGAATGTCTAAGCTATCGCAAAAATAATGCGAAGTGCACTCGGAGGTACCTTTTGTGGAGTTATATGACAAAAAGCAGGTAGATGAACTGCTGAGAAGCAACTCAATGATGTGAGCAACAAAATGAGAATTTCGCCCAAGAGAGGCATAGCTTTCTGTTGTCATTAAGAGGGGGCATGCGGAGGACAAAACCCTTAGAGAAGAGTAATGTGTCAGATGCAGTTAAAAACACGAGACAATCAGCAATGCAAGTTCACATTAGTAGGTTGGATGCAGGTTACCGTTCGACAATAAACTATAACGCACTCAATGGACCACTCATTGATCACGCCCTCTCCAATGGCGACGAAACGCTGGCATAATAATGATCAGTATGAAGGAACCTATCAACAGCCAGTTTCAGTATGAACACAAGAACCTTTGTCAGCAGTTTGTGGAGTTCTAGAAGGGAAACAGATCCACCACCTATGGTGCACAGAAAAAATCTTCAATACTCTCCTGTTTTCGGTCATTCGTGGTTGAAATCTCGTTATTCTCCGTTATGACATAAGTCACCACAGTTACGAACATAACTTCAAATTACTCAGAAATCGATTCTAGATAAGTGTCTAGCTGTGAATGCTTGTCAAGGTTACTACTGTTCCCGTCGAATTCACCCAAAAAATCTCCAGGATCATGTTGACAGTGGCATACAAATAAACATATATACAGCCCCACCCTGCTAGGAGACCGTTCCTTGTATAGAATCCCAAATTATTCGAGGAGTCTAGATGTTGACATTTTTATCCGGCCTTCGAACTACTTACATCAGAAAAGTAGAAATTTAAGGTCCCATATTCTTTTTCTATCAACTTTGACACAGCGTACATATGTGCTAGTCAAGAGCGTCGAAGGCTAAGCGTCCATATGAGTAATTCCAGAGCACGGAAACACTGTCCTTACAATGGGGTTTCAAGGTGAAATATTATCACTCTTAAGCCGCACAGGATTCGTGAGGGTCACTCGACCGGTGAAAGCCCTGGGCTCAGTGGTGACCATCGAGCCTGACCGAGACCCTTATGTGTTGATTTTTAGGTCGGTGTGATCACTCTTCTGGAGAGATATTACTGCCAGCGATTTCAAGCTTTGCTTCCTCTGGTGTACTCTACCAGTGAAACTCCTTGACTTTGCCAGCCATGTTGTTTGCAACCAGGGTGAGGAAAGCACACAAAGATACACGAAGGCTACATATTGGTTGCTTATATCAGTGGCTATCAAAGGAAACTGTGGGACTTAATCTGAGCGCCAGGCTTGAGGCACTAGTGAAACATCACAATGCGTCCCACCCGTGGCGAATAAAACGAATGAATCTCACAGTTGCAATTTTCCAACCATGGACAAATATGCTTGCCAAATTGCCGGATGATGATTAACATTTAGGCTGTCAGATTCCAACATTTGTCGCCTGCGGGTCCGTTCACATCGGTATCCCGCATGTGTGAAACATTGATGTACACCAGTCCTCGTTACATACCGTCGAACACAAAGTTTCTAGCGCGTGAGATGATATCGTCGTCAGATGTGAATAAGTGAAGTCGGGTTGCATAGTGATGGTTGCAAGGCTGAGAGTACGACAAGCTGCGGTGTGAGTCGGCTGACGTAATCCGGACATTTTTCGCATCTATTTTGTAGTCCTGTTTGGGGTTTGTTCAGGGTTTTTATAGAAAAAGCTAGTGTACCCCACGCAGATTGCAGCTCTGGAGGAAATGTGAACCACATCATGGGATCCCTGAATCCACTGTGGATGAAACTGAAAGTGTTGAGCGTTTTTGTATAACATAATCTTATGTGAGTAGTTGAGGAATTGATACACCTCCGAGCAAGAAGGCCCGTGCAGTAATACCTCAAGACTACAACTGTTTGACAAAATTTATCACCTACTGGTGAGATGTGCTGTCGATATGAGCAAAGCGCTGATTCATTTTGGCTCAGTAAAATATGGCACGTAACTTCTTGTGGTGGACACGTACAGTCATTGTGGTTACGATGATGCCAGAATATTGACCGGACGCATTGCAGCGGATTTTTTGTTGATCTGTTGCCTGACCACCCCTTTCGGAAACATTCAAAAATAAGTCAGAGTTTACTGCAAGCTTTGAAGGACAGTACATAGTGGAGGTAACTGACGACCGCACACCATCAGATTACTTGTCCCTCGAATGGGTAAAGGTCTGTCTATTTGTATTTGGGGGTCTAGATTGTTCAACCAGTGCTCGGAGATCCCGCGTGCTTGGAGCACTCGTTGCTTGGCCGATCCGAGTGCACTTGAAGCACATAGTCAACTGTGTGGGATTTCACGTAGTATGGAACATCGAAGGAAGGGATGTGACGATAAAAGACCTATCTGGACGTTCCGATGGTTGACATCAACGCGATATTGGAAAAGCAAAGGATGTTCACAACACACGACGTTCTAGTGCGGTTTGTGGTTGGTTAGGTGAAACTTTTACGATAAACTTCATCTGGTTGAATCTGATGGCAAGATCCGTGCTGATTTCGACGCTCGCATGTTTGTACTGCTCTATGGAAAGCAAGCACGAAAACTGACATATGGAAATGGTAGCGTTGTGATTCATACTTCGTAATTAAATTGACGATAGTTTCTCTTTATAACTTTGTTCGCGGATTATCCTGCATGTAGATGCCGATATGGACATACCAGGCACGATGGACACACCAGTAACGCCAGTCAGCAATACGTAGTTGATCCACGCTGACTCCCAAAACTTGGATGGACTAAAAGTGGAATTACTGAAGTACAACGAGATTTGAGGGCGAAACTTCTGTTTGCTTTGGTAAGCTTAGAAACACACAACAACGCTCTTTTTCCACATTTAACACAAATGACGTTGCGCACACTAAAAAGTGCCGATCCCATCTCATCCTCTTCAGAATGTTATAAGATATTTCGAGTGTTGCCAGATCATAAGACAGGCAAACAGCTGCCTCTGGTGAGTTGTACTGAAGTTTTGTCTTAGGCGGTATCCTACGCCAAAACGCTCTATCGTTGTTAGTTAGGCACAACAACGGCCAATAAGTAAAACTCGTAGTGGTGGTCAAAACCTATGGGTGGTGGACGGTCCGGGTGCGAGGAAAGCTTTGAAAGTCGGATATGCGGCCAATCATGTGTTCACTGAATGTCGGTTACCAATGGTGCCTCCAGAAGGCGTCCGAATTATCAGAATGTTGTCGCTACATAGACCTTAAATATCACGCGCTGTACACGAATTTTTAACTCGTCTAGATGTGTAAATATAGCATGCGTATCCTTGGTGGTTTTTCCGCTGAAACACACGATCACAATGAGAGCAGACCTTGGGCATAACCGCTATTTCACTTTGATATCCAATCTGAATGGAAGGGGTAACATTCGAGAAAATTAGGTGACCGCTATAGTGACTGTGCAGTATCAACGAAGTTCTCGCTCATCGTCACTAAGCACAAATTATAAGACACTGAACATTTTGTTACACATCTATTGAAATAACAAGATCACGGAAGAGTGCAGTAATTCAGTGACTTCATACAATGAGAACACAATCTGCAAACCAGCCAGCCGCATTGTTTAAGTTTTCTGAGAGCAAAATTCAGAGAAAAATATCTTGTCCCGGTTTTGCGGCTACAATTCTCCTTTCAAAAGACCTAACCATCGCTCGAGTTTTCGCCGACAATCAATAAGTAACGCTGTCAAAAACAAATGTTATAAAACGACACGCACGAGCTTAGCCCTCTTCTGCATCTTTCGGTCAGTTTGAACTCGACACAATACCGAATGAGTTCACGGGCATCACCGCTACAAAGACGTAGTGGTCATTTTGACAATATGACAACCAGCTTGATCGAGGGTTCGTGTCAACCCAGCAACAATCTAGCTGCACACTGATTTCTTCGTGTCTTCTACAAACGGTTTGTGTTTGCTGTATCGCAAATAACGTGTGACTTCTGTGTGACTGTTCATAGACATATGAATGGTTATCATTCAAAAGTGATTTTTTTCTCGGTCCGATTCTCATCTACTCCGCTAGGAGAAGTTTTCCAAGAACAGCTGAATAGTTAAGTGTATAGTTCACCATTATCATTATCGACAGCAGGACTTCACTGTTCACCAACACTGACGCTTTGCTGCTGTAAAACCATGATCTAGTTGAAAGCTTTATTGTGAAGAAAGGAATGAAAGTGGACGGGGTGCTAGCTTACTACAATCATTCCGATGTGCCTACACCTTCAGACACATGATGGCAACAAAATCAGATAACTGATTCCAAAACTGTTGAACAGGACACACAATCTCAGTGTTGTATAAACAAGAAATATTCATTTTCACTAGATTTTTCTCCTCACATATGCTGTGAGTATACCCCAATCTGGTCTCAAAATTTCACGGAGGGTAATCTCTCTCTCTCCTAAAGAGTATTTGTACAACTCTGACTCATACAAAATCAAAGCAGGGCGATGTCCACTGCGAGTACCTCTCTGTCATGACTGATCTCCTGCAGCTAGCTAAATGCACCAGCATCGATCTTACTGATAAGCTAACCACCCCAAGTATGCCGATTGCATACCAAGTCATTTTGGCCACCCATTCAGACGAAAATGATTGAGATATCAGGACAAAATGTGTTCTGGTTTACCAGAGCGCATTAAATGTCACAATCTGCCGTGCATTTATTTCTTCTGGTTCACGCCAAACCATACCGCAAACCGGGATAAAAATGGAGTTTCTAACATCCAAATGAGTCAAAATTAGATGAAGCGACCTGGCCAAAATAGATACACTTACCCGCAATCCAGAATGAATTGGTCCAGAGCAGAGATTGCAAGATTGGCGAGATGCTCCTGAGCTGCCTTGGCCCGTATTGCCCATTCAAGTTTGACCAGATTTTCGGACTGTTGGTGTGAAATAAAATTAGCACTAACAGTTTTGAGGGCTGCTTGAGTATGGATTCAAAATCAGAGGTTCAAGGTTCCATGACATTAGTAAGGGAAAACTGGAAGTTTATTCATCCACTCATTCATTCATTCATTCATTCATTCATTCACTCATTTCATTCATTCATTCATTCATTCATTCATTCATTCATCCATTCAATCATTCGTTCCTTCATTCATTCATTCGTCGTTCGTTCGTTCACAGGATAGTTGTGAAATAACCCCTGGAGGACCTCTGGTTCGTCTGTCAGCAAAGAGCTGTTTGTATTTAAAGGAATACCACAAGTGCACACAGGCCTTTTGCTCACTGACTCACATTCTAACCAAAGTGTGCTTGATGACTACTCAAGTAGAACGCTTAGTAAAAATGAGTAATTACGCGTAGTGGCCGAAAAATTGTTCCGGTGAGTCACGGTCCGTCAAGTTTTTGAGAAACTGAACTGCTCACCCCAATCTGGTAAGTTTAAGTTCAATGCAAAAACACTGGTGCTAAGTGAAAAGGTTTCGGTTTATAAATCTAATCTTGGAAGCCTTGAGTTTACGGCCTGGTCATGAAGACCTGAAAGCCATTACAGAAGAAACCTTGCGCAAAATAAGTGTATGAATCTTTGGAAAATAGGAAGCTCGGAAGTTACACACTGGATCCAGTCTCCAGGAGAACGGAAATCGCCTGGCAGCAAAGAAAACAGATCGGTGCGAAATTCCGATCAGTCGATATTTCTCGATCCCATCTTACATATTCCATAATCCAACACGTTCGCAGTGGCCCTAAAAACCTTGCAAGACCTTCCACTCTGGGTAGATTTAGATGCAGCCTCGACCGAGAGTGAGCTTGGTTGGCTTGAAGCGTAGTGAAACGGTAGATTTCCACCCAGAAGAGTAAAGCCTCCAGTGAAGACCACCTTTATTCGATCTCTTAAGGGGTCTCTCAAACTGAGGACACCAACGGCTAGAGCGGCCGTTTTTTAAAGCATCAGAAAAACAGGGAGAATATGGTTCAACGACTGGGCATAAAATTCTGTCAGACAAAACCCACCAAGTTCGCCGCCATATGCTGCAACATATTGACTGCAAAAAGCCGGAAGGTGATGTCTTCAAATTGTGGGTCGACCACGGTACATGGCTTATCGCCTTGCCATGGCAGGAAGCTATAGGCCATACCATCATAGACCGGGTTGGTAGGTGGGGTTATTGAGGGGCATGGAGGTACTGAGGTGTCCAACTTGTAACCGTAGTTACCGACGCTGACTTCGAATTCAACCGGATCGTCCTTTTCTCCCGGCATTTGCGTAGCTGAAAGAAAAGCTGTTTGAAGACGGAATTTTCGTCGACGGCTGCATTTCTGAAACAGACCAATATAAAGAATAAACCTCATAGATTTTTTATCTTCATAACCCTGAGAGTAGCACAACAACGCCTGGTCTATGGAGTAATACGTTTCAAAGTAAATTTGCACTGAGCGACAATTAAGGCTGATTGGAGAGTGATGAATTAGGAAGAGCAAAATCGAGTGTCCCTAGACTCTTTTTAGAGTCAAAATACCATTTGGCGAGACAAAAGAAAACAATTTGCATGGAGAAACTATTATAAAAATAACATAGTTCAGCTGTAACACCTTTTCGGTGTCTAGCTGCCGTGTCATCCGAAGGAGGCATGAGAGCTGAGACACTGCTGGGTTGCCCAAGCCTAGACAACGGAAGTCGATATACAGAGGTCGGGTTCGAGTCACGGACCTTCCGGTCAGCAAATTCGCGTTCTAATCACTGACGCATCTCGAGGAAACTATCACCTAGTATAAGAATGCTTACCTGTGTTCGTGCTACTATATCTGGTTCTATTGGTCGCACTTGATCCGGAATGGGATCATCCAGTAGCTCAGTTTTCAGCTCAACCAGAATGCGACCACGATAGGCCGCTCCATCACCCTTGCCCTTATTCAATCCCTTGTATTTGTCTTCTATATCCTGGTACTCTCTGGGTGATCCGTAAAGAGTGATGTAGCTTGGTCCAAACGTGGGCAAAAATCCTGGAATGTGAAGGAGGAAATGTTTTGATTGTTCAACGTAACCGTGTGAACTTTCGGTTAGTTGAAGTGAGTGACTCTTGTATTTGTCTTCGATATCCTGGTACTCTCTGGGTGATCCATAAAGAGTGATGTAACTTGGTCCAAACGTGGGCAAAAATCCTGAAATGTGAAGGAGGAAACGCTGTGATTATTCAACGTAACCGTGTGAACTTTCGGTTAGTTGAAGTGACACATATCGTTCTGACAACAAATTTTGAACGATGATCAAAGACATTCGGTGAGCTAAGATGATGGCTGAAAACGAAATAGGTATTAGCGTGAACCTGTTGAACAAAGTTACAATTGACAAAGATATAAACGAAATCAGGCGACTGATTGACCGGAAGGGACGGGATCACATGGAAAGCGATTGCTTAGTTCACAAGATGGGGACTGACAGAAAGTTGAATCATTCATTACGGGCGTGCCTAGTAAAACATAAGCCTCCTACTGCGTTCACTTTTTCTCACTGCCCTAAAGCTGCTTTAAGTCAGTTCAAAAAGTGAGTCGGTGGTCACTTCCTGCATTAGATTATTGATGAAAAGCATCTGTTAACTTTTTTTACCCTTCTTTCTGTAAGGAAAGCTTAGAAGTCCATGCCAGTTGTCACATCAGAGCGTAAACGTGCAGATCGATGGATGGAAACCTATGACCGCAACAACAAAGTTTGTTGCTATTGTTAATACTACTGTCAGTAGTCTTGTACCTGAGGCAAGTATTTTGATGAGATTGGAAAGGCTGTTATTCTTTCGTTCTTTGTTCCCTTACACAAGCAAAACCTCTCTGCCACAGTCACCTGAGACATTTCTTAGCTTCAGGCTTTAGTAACGGTAACTCGAGTCTTGTCCTTGTGAGCTCAGACGGTTTGTCAATCGTTGTACAAACGGGATGTAGTGCGTTCAATTCTCGGCCTATGAAGCGCATCTGTTGAATGGTAGCATATAGGAAACTTTTACTAACGAGTTTTTTTAATATTTTTAAATCATGAACATTTATTCATACTTTTATTGTCGTACAAACGCACAACGCATTTTTAGAATAGTACGCGGACCGACACTTCAAATCAAATCAGCCCATAACGTAGAAACATATGCGTAGGAATGGTAGTTTATAAGCAGAACAGGGTCACCAAGGTGTGCAGTTTGAGGCCATTTTTTGATGCGCCTACACACAACAGAGAGGAATTTGAAGGCACTACATGCATTCATTGCAACAACATAATTATAGGGCTTTAACACCAATGATTTAGTTTTGCTCCCCACACCAACCGATACAAGTGCGAGTGTACATTCCGAATGATTGATGCAGCACGGTGAACCGCTTGCACATTGTTGAACCGGTACACAAGTGACTCATATATAAACACAAGGATGCCGATCCAATCATGAGGAAAGTCGTGCAACCATTGGTCAGGTGTAGGATAACAAGAAAAGTTCCCATTGAAACGGAAGACAAAAAAACTCCGAGTCTATATGATTGTTTTATACGTGTTACTTTGGAATTTCAGTCGACATTATGTCCCGCCAGAATACCACATTCGGCATCGCTCTGCTCATGAAACAAGTCAGTGTGTTACGTTAAAACCTAACAATGCATCAGCCAAATACACTCATTTGCAAACAAATTTGGATTTGCGAGAGGCTCACCTGGATCCGAGCTGAGTCTCTTGTTTGCGATTTATCATCTGTGCCGAAATGAAGGCCAACTTGTTCCTATCGCTCATCAGTGTCAGTTCACTTTTGCTCCCACAAGTCTTAAACTACGTCTTTAACTACCAAAATAGACATTCTTCACCTGTACGTCGCACTTATTTCGCAGCCGATCTTATCCGTAGGCTGTGTGCACTGTGTAGGCTACGCAGACTTCGTCACATGCCGGTGGATAATGACACGAAAGGCATTTCAACGCGCGCCAAAAAATGCGGTCACTTTTTTATATCCACCTTGGAAGGTACATGGCCTTCAAATGAGATCCGTTGGCAGGCATCTGTCTGATGAATAAACACCGTCAAGCAAATGAACTTTGTTCCAAGAATGAGCAGACAAAAAATCATTCCTAGTTCAAACTGAGCTCGTAAAATACAATATGACGCTCGATTAGCCATGAAACTCTAAACTAAAACTAATCTGGTTTGTCCGAAATTAGTCACACCATGACGTGATAAAATTTCCAACTACGTTTTGCTATTGAGATGAATGTTGGTAGCTCAGGTGGCGTAGGCGGGCGCTGGTTTGTTCGGTGAGCTGGGCAACTTGGTTGCAAACGTTTCATCACCAATCGAAGTGACGCCATCAATGTCTTGTTAGGAAGTGTAGTAGGACGTAGCGATGGGTCGGTGGTTGTGTACCCGTTGTGTGTCGCCGTTTTGTCACCGCACTTATTCACATACTTTGTCGGGTTCAGAATGCAGGTCATACTCTTAGGCAATACCAAGGTGCTTAGGTAATTTACCCAAGAGTGGAGATCGTTACCAAATTGAGGTGAAAGATTTGTGATGAATTTATAGCAGTGCGTCCCAGTTAATAACGTCTGGTTGCTCCCAGCTTGTTGAAGAGTTTGAGAATCGTCACTTGAAACCAATCAATGCCGAAAAACGAGAAGCACTGTACGTTTGGTTCACTCTTATTGGGAATCATCATCAGCGCACATCTCACAACACTTCGAGGAGGTTTCGAATCAGGGACCTCCCAGCCAGTGGTTGGAACACTTGACCTTTCTACCACGTATGGCTGCCGATTGGCGGCAGCTACAACCACTGTACGACGAGTACACGGTTATTACAGCTGATAATGAATGAATGAGTGAAATGGGATATAGCGCCACATAGCTTCTTCAGTCATGGAAGACTCGCCACGTAGACACGTGTAGATCGGCTGCTTAAGTGGCTTCTCAGATGAGAGTTTCACTCATGTTGTAAATTAGTTCTTCCCCTGAATTAGTTGAAGATTGTTGGTAGTGTCAGATTTGGGAATTTCAAATTAAGATTCCATTGTGAAATCGAGGTAAACCTATCCGTGGTGATCCCGTTTTAAGTTATTTGCCGATCTTGTTTTTGCGTTTCCTTGCAAAAGCCAAATAACATTCGCAGTTCTGATGAATCCCTGTGAGGGAAAAATGGTCGTCTAATGCTTTAATTCGGATCTTTGACAAAATGTGCATTTAAGCCCCGAGGATGGACGTGTAAAAACGCATAAATCAGTCAGAAATAGGCCAGTCATTATTAGTCCCACTACGAGGGAGCAAATCCGAAGTTCACAAACCCAATAAAGCAGTTTGTTTTGAGTTCACAAAAAACCAATCAACTATACTGGCCCAAGACCGAAGTCTTAGTCATTGCATTTTCTCAATCACCGTACAAAGTTTTTTGTTACTTCAGTCGTATACTCCTATATTTTGAGGTGATTATCTTGCATTTCGGTTACCGTAAATAAAGTGTGGGGGAAATGCTACGGGCAGGGTAAACAACTAGGCTGGAGAGTTTTTCTTATTTTCTGGCAGTGAGTACTTGCCGAAACCAAACGGTTGTAAGGCAGCCCACACAGGTTTGCATGTAGCAGCATACAAAACGTCTGTTAGGTGTGACGATGATGACCGCAAAAAAACCTCATAATGCAAAGATAAAATTTCGCTTAGCTGTGCGAGGTGTTTGGAGATGGTGATGTGGCGGAATATAGGTGGCTCAGGCCCGCCACCAGCACCTCTAAGTATTTGGTGGTCTCATTGCGGGAGCCCGATGTTGGACATTGTCTGGCCCGTTAAAGCAACTCGACAATGGACCTTAGTTTCGGCCTCGTTTGAAAAGTTCACTGAGAATAATTAAAGTTGGATTAGCAATGGCGCACAGCTGGGGTGCTAGGCTAATCACATCTAACAGCGTCAGAGCAGGGAACGTTTGGAATTCCTGGGGAGTTCTATGGGCGTGAACAACAGAAAAAACGTACATACTGTAACACAAGGTTTGAGCAGAAAACCATATTAGCCGTTGTAAAAGAATCACATTGTTGCTTAATTACTGTTTGTAAAACGTGAGAACACCGTCCGAAAACCACCTTTGATGAATCACATTATTCGTTAAGCAGTGGTTAGACGTAGAAAGCAAGTCATGTTTGCGGTGAGAGCTCCAATCAAATGGTATGCATGCAAAAGCGACCTTTGCGAAATAAGTGCAGATAAACAAAATCGTGCAACCGAACTCATAGCGTCGCGAGATCAAATCAAACCCCAAGAGATGGCATGCATTGTGTGTTCATGCATAGACCAGTGTTGCGGATTTAATCAGGTCAGCGGTCCTCACCGATAACATACCATCAGGTCCACAAGTGGAAATGTGTGAAAGTGCAATTGACGTTGTGCCGATGACATCATCGCTACCTATCCGGTCCCTGCAAAATGTGGCATTCAGTTGTAGAGAATCAAGAAATAACAGTCCGAAATCGGTGAACGTCACCTCTTATCGATCGTCTCCTACGAAAGAATAACTGCGCATGAAAACATCTTGGCCAGTTCGGTTGATCATATCACTGAAAAAATATGGTTTCTAGATCTGGCATTATTAATTTAGAAACCAAACTGAAAGGCTGTAATTAGGAGGGTTTTCGGATGACAATAAGAGGCCTTGCAATTGTTCTCTTACAGCTATAGGATTTCAGCTGTTTTGTCAGTTTGGATCAGTCGGCCTCTCGAACCGGAACTAGCCGTCCATGAGGATTTCGAAAACTCGCTTGATTCATTCTGTTTTGTCAGTTTGGATCAGTCGGCCTCTCGAACCGGAACTAGCCGTCCATGAGGATTTCGAAAACTCGCTTTGATTCATTGCATTTATATGATCTCCTCAAGTTTATTTGCATTTATTGCAATTGGTTAGTCAAAAGTCAGATTTAAAATACAGCTTCTGAATCAAGACGTGTTGTTTTTGGTACGGGTGGAAAACATGACTTCCTAGAAAATACTCAGTGAAGCTTGATTGAACCAGGTGCAATGGGGGACTTGTAGTTATCAGGACAAAAAAGCAAAGGCGTTCACGGACAAGCAGTGAGTTAGTTCTACATGCTACAGGTGAAACCTTTCTTGTTAGATTGCATAAATCATTGCTGTTTGCTTTTACGTCCCCGGTGGTGAGAGATGAACTGACAGCTATAAGGATGACACCATTAGACAGGATTTTCATTGGCCACTGGACACAATAAAGCCGCAAATCCACATGTGATCGCCCTGTAAGGGGCACTATTCGATATGGTTAGATAACACATTGATACACTGAGGTTAATCACCCCCTACTGACCATCACTTTCGTCACGATAGGCTGACACCTGCGATAGAAATATCGGAGCCGTTGCTATGGCATCATCATCACCAACGCGATCCCTGTTGTACAGATGGATAAATTTAAATTGGATAAGGAGAGACGTGTCATCAGCTCTCTCATCTAGAGACAAAATAGTCAAGTCGATAAGATGGAGGAAACACAAAATGTTAAGGGGATAGTTTGATTTTCCGATGAATTTCCTTCAATATATTTGGAACACGGTAAACAGCACCCGCTTATGGCTGGGGGAGGCTTGGTAACCTAAGCGGTCTCGAGAAACTCTAGTTCCTGTTCCATGACCATAATGTATTGTGTCGCTCAGGGTGATCATAACCCACTTCGTATATTCTTTCTTCTGGACCCCCTCTGGAAAGAAGAAATCCTAATTATTTATTGGGTGCTACGAGTAAATGCAAGGCGCCAAACGATGACTCCAAATCCACTGGGTATGTTCTGGTGATTTTGATGACATATAGGGGCCTATTCATCCTGAGAACCCCAGCTATGTCTGAAAGCTTTCCAACATTCATGCGGCGTCAAAAAATCGGTACTAGGTAACGAAACTTATGATGAATCTAGAAGCTGCGAAACTTATGATGAATCTAGCTGTCCGAAAAACGATTTTTCCTCACTGATGCCGAAACCGATTACGGCCACAAGAGGACTGTGGTTGCTTCCAAGGTTGGTCACTGCCTCAAGCACATTGGCAGGATGTCAGTATCTTCGTACATGTGGCCAGAACCTCTTGGAAAGACTTGTTCCCCCCACCGCTTACTAAAGGGATAGTAGCGTCTGTTTTGGAACCCAGATTTGCCTGGTATTTTAGCCCCGTCCATAGTGAGTCAATGGTGCATTCGGGAGGATAAAATACACAGTAACCTTGCGGTAAAAGTGTACCTTGATTAAGCTAAGTCAAAGCTGGCTATAGTTAGTTGCTTCAGTGGATTTTGCCCCCAAGTACACAAGAGTCACAAAAAACCGATGGGAAGAACAAAACTAAGTTATTTTGAAAGGACGTTTCTTGTGAATGGACATGCGAAGGGCACAGTGCATACTGACCGTTCTCCAAGAACTCTACTCTTCCACACTGGTTCCATACCCTGAAATCCACCACGAACCGTTCTCACAATCATTCACACTAGATTCCATGTTAAACAACCGATTATTTCCAGTGGAAAATGTTAGAAGCTTTTTTTATCCCTGTTCGTTGAAGGGTTACCTCACATTTGTTTTCGAATAAACGAATAGAGGTGATGAATCACACAGTTCACTCCTAACATTTTACGGAGGTTCATCGGTCATCCTGAGAACCCCAGCTATGTCTGAAGGCTTTCCAACATTCATACGGCGTCAAAAAATCGGTAATAGGTAACGAAACTTATGATGAATCTAGCTGTCCGAAAAACGATTTTTCCTCACTGATGCCGAAACCGATTACGGCCACAAGAGGACTGTGGTTGCTTCCAAGGTTGGTCACTGCCTCAAGCACATTGGCAGGATGTCAGTATCTTCGTACATCTGGCCAGAACCTCTTGGAAAGACTTGTTCCCCCCACCGCTTACTAAAGGGATAGTAGCGTCTGTTTTGGAACCCAGATTTGCCTGGTATTTTAGCCCCGTCCATAGTGAGTCAATGGTGCATTCGGGAGGATAAAATACACAGTAACCTTGCGGTAAAAGTGTACCTTGATTAAGCTAAGTCAAAGCTGGCTATAGTTAGTTGCTTCAGTGGATTTTGCCCCCAAGTACACAAGAGTCACAAAAAACCGATGGGAAGAACAAAACTAAGTTATTTTGAAAGGACGTTTCTTGTGAATGGACATGCGAAGGGCACAGTGCATACTGACCGTTCTCCAAGAACTCTACTCTTCCACACTGGTTCCATACCCTGAAATCCACCACGAACCGTTCTCACAATCATTCACACTAGATTCCATGTTAAACAACCGATTATTTCCAGTGGAAAATGTTAGAAGCTTTTTTTATCCCTGTTCGTTGAAGGGTTACCTCACATTTGTTTTCGAATAAACGAAGAGAGGCGATGAATCACACAGTTCACTCCTAACATTTTACGGAGGTTCACCGGTGCCAGTAAGATATGGTTTTCAGTATTCTATTTTAAGCATGAAGCAGACCAAAGTAAACCAAGGATACGAATTCAAATCGTCTGAATAATTCAAGTCGCGAAACTGCAGTGCTTCTGTTCGAATATATTCTCCAAAGTTCAACAATACTCACCAGTCATAGAGAGTCAGTGAAACCTTATCACACATTGACGGGAACTGAGGGGAGGGGGTGAAAGTAAAACACACTGAACAACTGAGTTCGAAATAACAAATAATAACCGTAATAAATAATCGTTCAGCTGTAATACCCTTTCGGTATCTAATTCAAAAAAAGAACACGAGAGTTCGGATGCTTCCCAAATCTAAACAGAAGTCTATAGGTCGGTCTGGGTTCGAGTCACGGACATTCCGGCCACCAAACTTTGCATCTCTAAAACTGAGCTATCTTCAGTTTAAAACAGTAAGTGCCGTTTAGCTCAGAATCTTTTTACTGGTTGATCTCTATGCTCCGCGACAATGGGGAATAACAGCAGCTTGGTCTGGGCGATTACCGCGGAAATTCGATTAGGGGAAGTAGGTTCAACACTTTTTCTAGTGAGACAGATAGCTCAGCTGACTAATGAAACTCTAAAATCAAACCAATACTTCTAACATAGGTTTCCATCTATAAATCTCAACCAGATTCCAGGAATGTTATCCAATATTATCCGATGCGAAAGAATCAAAGTTCCAGTCCTTAAGGTTCTTTCACAAGACCAATTCAGAACGTTGTCACTACTTACTGGCTTAATGAATTTCAGTACTCTATACATTGGACTATACACTGATATTGTTTGTAAGTCGAGATTGAGTATTCGAACGACACCCAACTCATTCGGATATTTATATAGTTACAAAATCAAGAGAGCTCTGATGAGGGGCAAAACAGAGGTGTTTTATTAATACAGTAGATGTTACATTCGAAAACTGCTGTAAAGTGGCCCATCTCCAGATGGAGTGAATCCACGACAAACAAACCAGTTGTGTCCTGCTCCTTCCTCTGCATTTTACACACCTGTGAAAAGCCCAAAGTACTGCCTGGGATAAAATATTTGGCTTTTGGAAGAGAGCGCACCACAACTTAGTGTTGGAGTGTCATCCACCTGGCTTGAGCAAGGTAATTGCCCATTGGTAGGGTAACCCACGTCAAGGAACCTCCGAACTACGCTTGTACTAAAACATTTCCCAAAGTGTAGCGGCTACGTGCACCTATAAAGAGAAAAGACAGCTTCGATGTCACTAAATTATTATTTCTGGTAAATTACCCTCCCAAGAGAGACCAAATGCAACAATCACCTCTTCGAACCCGCTCTACATCTCTACTTCTCCTGTCTGGGTTTGGGCAACCTGACAGTATCCCAGCCCTCGTGCTTCCTTTGGGTTGCATGGTAGCCAGGCACCGAAAGGGTGCTACAGCCGCATCAGGAATAATCGCGGGCAAAGTTTAATTCGGCTCCCTTAGTTGGATGCTTAGTGGGCCCTCAAAGAGCTCATGGATGCGTCCTGTCTCAGCAAACGGCTGAACGGCTATCAGTTTGTAGTGGAATCAGCAGCACGTGACAAACGCGAATGCGACTCTCTTCATCGGTACGAACCATCTTGTTAACTCGGCCGAGTCTTTCGACGTGTAAACCAAGTGTTCCTCAGTCGTTCACCCATCAGAACGTACTCTCAACGGTGGGACTGATCACTATCCAACTACTTCAAATTCTCGCTAACCAGTTCCGACTAATTGATACACTAAACCGATATTTCAATGCGGATCATCATACATTCACACGGTTTCTGAAGACACTCCAACAGCCCACAATCGGTTTCGCTCTTATCCAGCTGGGCACCATCCCTGAGTTCCTGAGAGCCGTAAGTTTTGTTTGAACCCGGATGGGCGCAATTCACTCAGCTGCAAACCAGTTTGGTTTTAAAAAGCCTCAACTGAATTCTATTGAACCCTTCGTTTATGATATTCCGGTTCAACTGAGTTTTGTTGCTGGTAGGATATTCGAGAAATCGCGGTATAGTTTCTTGATGAAACACCTTTGGAGGGCTTTTTAGCACTTCTGTTTATCGTGTTTTGTTCGAATTTTAATCCGCACCCGATAGGTGAGATTTTATCTAAAACGGTTGCCCGCAAAACACCAGTCCACACATACGGAGCATCACTGAGAAGGGCTGGGGATGGATGATGATTGAATCTTCAAATAGAATATGGACAAAGAGGCTATAAGTACTTTCTCAACCTGTGAAGTTCAACGGTGGAAAAATTCATCCCGAATTCGACGGCTTTTGACAACACAACGTGAAAGTGATGTCAAAGCACGTGAACAAGACCGGATGTGATCGGCGTTTGACCTTCGAAAAGACCATTGCTAGTGCGCTCACTCTGTTCTGTCATCGGCCGGCAGACAACTACTCTACTCAACATGACATTGTAACGGCCTGTAATCAACTATCATCCGTGGCGTGTTCCGTAATGTTTTGTAATGAACCTCAGAATTTGACCTCACATATCCAGTACTGGAATTTCAGTAAGTGCATCATGATAGTGCGATCGGGTGGCACATTTGCTTGCGATTAACTAGCGTAGGGTGAACAGCGGTATAGACAATGGAACCTTGAGGGAGTGCATTACGTTCGCTGAAATGTGAGAACCCAACCACAACCTCATTCCTCCCGGCTACCTAGAATTTACGCAGGAATCCACACACCCTAGAACAGAAAATCTAACCTAACAGTCGACTCAAAATCTCTGGTATTTTTCTTGACACAGCGCTACTCGTAATTTACAAATGAATGCGCAACTGATCCTAGGCATCTATCTGAATGCCTGGCGACGGTAAAATTATTGAAAGGTATGTGTGCTGCATGTCAACAACATAGGCATTTATTATGTTACCAAGTCCAGCACAACCACTCACATCCAATTCAAACCAGTTTATCAAATTTGGTGATGGAAGAGCCGTTGCCTAATGCTCTAAACACTGAATCAACTCACAACGCTAACGGAATTAAACTGCCAAATGGATCTGTATTTTTTGAAAGGTTCCTACTACTAGCAGCCTCAATTTCATTTCTTTAGACCGTTGATGTGGCTTAGCTCAGCCCCTAATTATCTGTACACTGGATTTGTGAAAACTGGATATTTTGGCGTGCTCTTCAGTGAGGTGTGCAAAGTCATGTTTAAAGTACAAGACACACGTTGCAACTGCCTGTCCAACTGGAACATCATGCGGAGTATGCAGCTGGTGGGTCAAGATACAGAAATGAGTGCAAACGGTTTCGGCAGACTTCAAACGACTACGACAATTGGAAGGAGGTGACTCAGCATCCGTAAACTTCCACCAATCTGGATATAGTAGGCGTGTATTTGTTCAGAACAACGATCCTCTCCTGGGGTAATTTCATCAAAGACTGAGTGCTAGAAGTGGTCAGAATATACGATACTCGTCCTTACTGTTTTTAGTCATTTGTTAACGCGACCAATGACTATCAAAAATTGCGCGCCGTTGAGCGCATATTTGTAGTCAAAACCGCGTGCACTGATACTGCAAGAACCATGCACTTCTGCTAGTAGTTTATCAATAAACGTTTCGCGTGCATGCAGCACTAGTATCATCTATGTTCCCGCTATGTTAGTCTCGAGAGTGTCGACATGCCCAAGGTCGGCCATGTATGTCCAATCAGCTGTGCTTGCCCAAGACATGTAGCGATTGCCTGTCCATCTTTGCATCTTCAAAACCTATGATACACACGTCGATACTACATAGCAAGGACGTGTGGAACAAACACTTGGATGAGTGAAGCTACCACATATTTGGTTCTGGTCTGGAGTGAGGTGAAGATGCGCGGCAGAACACATGGATCACTTTCTCGGGCAGCTGATGTGAAGCTGCCAAGCTACATCACTGGTCGCTAGGTCTTATCTACTCCTTTATCGTTCTACTGATTATTGTGGTGTTCTCTGGGCTCATTGCAGTTGATGTCAAAAGCGTCCTTGTTAAGCATAGTGTAATTACTTCCACACTATCCTCTTCGATCTGTTCCATTTCTCCGCTTATGTGGCAAATACTTTGCAGGCCATGGAATAACTATGAGAGTTTCCATCTTTGAATTTTGTCGGTACACATATGAATAAAATTGGCGCGAGCGACTTAGAAAAGAATGTAGGGGGTCTTGTGTTGATGTTTTCATTACTCTGCAAGTAAAACGTGGTAGACAATGCTATAGTCGCTGTCTGCAGCCTGTAGAACTGTGACTTACTTTAGATAGCAGACTCAGGGGCTTTCACTTCTCCAAAACCAAAAGAGACAAACCCTCTGAGGCTGGATGTCCCTCCACAGACCATCAAGTTGAGTTCATGCCGGCATTCACTATTTTTCTTTGCCATCAGAATTCACGTCAATAAAATGATCAAAGCCGAAGTGTTTACACCTACCATTCTTCGTGTTCTCACTATTGTTCAAACGTATGCAACTGATTCTGGAGGCCCAGTTAATATGTCGCTCCTCCTGTGTTACATCTTTAAATCGAGAATAAATTAGATATGGTGGCGAAACCCGTCTGTTTACTGGCTATGGGTGTTTTTCATACTATTCGTACTATGCTATTCATACTATTCGGCAAAAAAATAAGCGAATAGCTTGTCAAGGCGCGGTGCCCAGTACAACCGACCTAGGATGTTTCAGCCAGAGTTTAGATGGGACCCTTTTTCAGAATTCAGAGAGTCGTGCATGTGAGGAAATTTCCACCCAAAGTTGCGTACAGCACCCATTTACGAAGGCAGACCAGTAAGAGTCAAACGCGCCCCATCGAAGCCGTTTTCTATTCGGATAGCAATCTTTGTTAGAACGGAAAACATTTATCGTTCCTTGCGAAACTAGTGCACGAATTCGGACAGATTTCTAAAATTATGATAGAGCTATTTATTGAGTCATGGATGAGGAGTACACACCAAAATAGCCATTATGTAGAAGGCAATTTCACTTGTTCTCTTAGGCTTATTTGTCAGTGGGTTCCACTTAACAGTTCGTAAACATTTGAATGTGTCGTGTTCCCTCCTACTTTTAACACAAGGCTTGGTCTTTTCATAAGGAAACTACTCACAAGGTTGCTGAAAACTCTTCGACAGCCCACGACCGGTTTCGCCCTTCTTGAGGCTCATCAGGTAGGCGCAGTTCCCGAGTTTCCGTCAACCTTATGTTCTAAATGAGAAATACACTCATTTGCAAATCAATTTGGTTTTCGTGAGAGACTCAACTGAATCTCTCGTTTATGCTATTCTACAACTGAATGTGCTGCACACAGGCCGCCTCATGATTCAGTTGGCACGATATTCGAGATATCGCAGTATATTTCTATAAAGTAAACTGCTCACAAGGTTGCTGAAAACTCTTCGACAGCCCACGACCGGTTTCGCCCTTCTTGAGGCTCATCAGGTAGGCGCAGTTCCCGAGTTTCCGTCAACCTTATGTTCTAAATGAGAAATACACTCATTTGCAAATCAATTTGGTTTTCGTGAGAGACTCAACCCCGAGTTTCCGTCAACCTTATGAGCTACTTGAACCCAGCCTGCACTGTTTTCGAGAATATACCGCGACATCTCGAATATCGTGCCATTTGAAACATGAGGCGGCCTGTGTGCAGCATATTCAGTTGTAGAATAGCATAAACGAGAGATTCAGTTGAGTCTCTCGTGAAAACCAAATTGATTTGCAAATGAGTGTATTTCTCGAAGGCTTGGTCTTGTTTTCAAGCCCATTTCTTTTCGCATCAGCGATTTCCAAACTTTATTTCAGAATAGATACCCCCAAAAAATAAAGTTATAGAAATTTCCATCAAACTTTGGTTGGATGCATGTGGATGAATTCTGGAACTGTCCGTTCGGATTTCTGCCACTCTGTGTTTGGAGGAAGTGAGGTGGAAGTTCGACTGGCACTTCAATGGAGCACACGGTGATTGAACCCATATGGCTCAGCAGTAGCATACGTGTCTGTCGGCCTTCTAACACCGGTTAGCCCCGCTTTCAGGATGGAATCCATAAAAGAAAATTCAACAGTTGCTCACTGTAGAAGAGACGCTCACAAAACATACCATTCCACAAATCGCCTGAGCTTCCTGTAGGGGAAGTCCTTACTCAAGGGACGACGAAAGACACAAACTACGTAACCCGAAATAAGAGTGGCGCCTTATCCCGTCCAAGTACAGGTTCAATGCGTTGCTCATCAGCCACCCGTAGCTTGATGACGGAGAAATCATCTCCAATCCAGAAGGTGGAGAATTCTCCGCGGATATTATTGTCCGAATAGGGGTACATACTCCGTAAAGTGTTTCTCGGCTTTTCACCATAGGTTCATCTCCCTCGAGGAATAAAGTTCAAATCCGACATCAGTACAAGGTAATTCTCGCAGGTGAACCTTTACATTGAGGAGGATTTCGAACTATCCAGAAACATCGAGGACGCTACGTGATTGTGTTCTCCATGCACGACCATTTGGACACTGTTTCACGGATACTACGGACGAGGCACGTTCTGAAACCAGTCTTGGTCTTTCAAATACCAGACATCTTTGACCTGCCTACTGAAACCTCTGTTTCGTTCATGCGGATAACTTTGTCGCTTACACTAGTCGATTGGCCCAACCGAATATCACAGAAACATCTCCGAGTCTTCAGTTATATGGTATACACCAACGGTAATGATGCATTCAAGGTCCTTCCGACTAAAACATCGTGGACAACAGCAGCAGTATCGAATACCAACATGTTCCTGCTAATGGCATGAGAGCATGGTGTCCAACAAGATTTGTAAGCAGATAATAAAGAACCCATGTTTATTTTCGTATCGGAATATGAGTCGAAAAACATATGCTTACAACAATAAACGTATGGATTTGGCCAACGTTTCACAGTGCCGCCAGTGGAGTCAATGGGAAGGGAATATTTTACCTTTCAAAGACATTGATATACACATGAATTTCGATTTCCACTCCTGAGTGCCTCCGACGTCCATGATGGAGACCCTATTGGTATTTTCAATAATGGAACGACTTAATCAACCAGCATAAGGTGACTACCCTCATTTGGTTCACATCTACGAAGTTACTAGCCTTTTTACGACGTCTTTTGATGTTAGCAAAGAAAGCGACAGTTTTTGCTCTGTCTGAAAAGGCCAACTTTAAACCACCCTGTCAAGACCAGAAGAACTAGTAATTCAGTACCAAAAGCTGCGTATTCCTGTCGAAAGTTCCATTACTCGTAGCTCGCAAAATACTTAAATAACTGCTTTTCCTTTGCAGTGGTACACGAATGTGACGTCTAAAAATGTATGCGTCGCATTCCAAACCAGGGGTGACTTTTGAAGGCCATATCTACTCTGAATGTGGGGTGACAAACGTTATTCTTTAAATGAATTTACTGAACTGGACTTGATTAGAAAGCAGTTTCGCTCTTTTGCGTACTTTGTGCAAACGGTTATTGCAGGTAGACTGAAAACAACGAAACTTTGCTGCGCAAGTAACACCGCCAGGCCGTCCGTGCGTAGTATAAAAAATGTATGATAGATCGATGCTCAAGGTCACTACTAAGACTACCGGTTAACTTCGATCAGCTAACACTGATAAACACAAAAATCGGAGTGGGTTCACATGTCCTGTTGCTGAATTTGTACGAATCCGACTGCCACTCACACGTTTGGTTTTAGTACCGTCTGCTTCATATTCGCTTTGATAAATTCAACTTATTGCAACATAAATTTTGAAAGGAACTCATCACGAGCGCTTGAGACTGGGTAGGTATTTTTTGGAACAACTACAGAGGAAGTAGTGTATCCTACATCAAGCCACATTACCTTGCAACTTCTACAGGTTGATCTTTAGGAGAAGGGTTCCTTACCAGTATGACTGTATGTATTCATACGCAGTCGGCAGTTAGCGCACTTGGGCTCTGCGCAAACTAGCTAGGACATCAAACAGGGAACAGAAACGTTTCCCATAGCATCATTTTCGACATCCGTCTCCAGTCTTTCGTTATCTATGACTCCGTGATCAAACTGGAACAGCCTTGGTCACTGTTTCTACGCCATTGGTAACTTGTAGTGCATCCATTCCGAACTGACTGCTTACAGCATGTTGTTTCATTTATTCGGGTACAAACCAAAACCAGCCAAAATGATTCAACCGTTCCAGACTGATTAACCTACCTGGAAGTTGATGATAATTTCTTCGTTCCACTCAGGACGATCAGTTCCATACTTCTTTGATGTAGATTGCTGCAAAAAATATGATGAATCAAGACGTCACCGAACTAGTTACTGGGGTGCACTTCGCTTTTCAAATCACTTGGTTCTACAACTCTGAAGCCCGGTTTATAAAACAGTCGCTGCTTGGAACAAACACCGTGCAACGATTCGTGAAAATGTAGTCAACGAAGAACCATCCATGGCATCATCTTAGATATTTGTGAAGCTGGCCTATCCAGTCGCAGCAGTTGATCGTTTTGGAGTAAATATGGTGTCTCTTCATTTCATTTCCAAATAAAACATTACCATCCACGGGATGGTATTCACTTGTGTGTTTGTCCGCGGGATATTGTTGCCGAAAGTATCGTGTATTGAGATTACGTTCGAGGTTTTCTAGTGAAATTAGATCTGGAGAAAACCGTTTGCTGGGGACAGAGCAAACTCATTAGGGTTGTTCATTCGTTTGAAGTTTGAATCATCTTTCACGGTTGGTGGTGAGAGGAGGCTTTGGGAATCTAATGAGGATTTCGTCCAGTAAGGTAACCTAACCTGTGCTGGAAAGTCGAGGCACGATACAGCTGTTTCATCTTTACTGGGAGTCATCGGCAGTGCGCGTCTCACGAAACTTCGAAGAGTCTCGAACCTGCGACCTCCCGGCTAGTGGTCTGAACATTTGACTGCTTGGCCGCAAGTGGCTGATCAGCTGTGTGATTGGACAGGATAAGACCACTCTCTGAGACGTTATCACTGTCGCTCGTGGCTGAACAGTTAGGCTGAGAAGTTGTGAATCCCTGGAATACTGTGAGGTACGCACTGATGACGATTTCGAATAAGGATAAAGCTGCTGTACAGTGTTCCTCGGCTTTTCAACGCAGATCAGTTTCACTTGCAGAAAGAAGGCTCCGTTGAATTTTACACTCTGTGTATGTTCCAATCATGAGCACAAACAAACGCAACTGAAATTCGCCTTCAATTTAATTATGGCCAAGACAGCGCGTTTCGGAAACGGTGAGTAAATATGAAGGCTGTTTAGAGGTCTGTGCTTTAAAGTTTCACCAGGATGCTTCAGGTTTCCAAAAGGTAACAAACAGACCTAAGATACCACATTATTGAGACCGCCCCTCTCAGACGGTGACTAGAAGTGGTAAGGTCTCCAAGGTATGTGAACTAATTTAGCTATTACCAGGCTACAGTCTGTCAAAGCCACCATGAGTTTCCGTGTTCAGCTTCCGAGAATCTGAAAACCGACGACTCTCGACAACTGTGCCATTCAGAACAGTATCCGGTGACAGTCAAACTGTCTCAAAAAGCAGCAAACAACCTTAGGAAGGGGATTCTATCTCAAGCCTTCGCAAGACCGAAGTACTTTAGTCTCTTCTAGGATATTTTAGGCACTTGTTTCTGTACTCAACGTGTGGAAACCAAAAAGGGACCATTCTGTTCAGTAACATACACCTTGAGGAATAACTCGGCCAGGGGAAGTCACATATATATCAATCTATCCATGGGGCGCCCAGCTCCTTTAAAGTTTTCATTCCATCATCAGAGCCGAAATTCCGACAGATAGTCGAACCTCTTTGGGTGCGGTCGGATTCGGCAAAGCTTAAGCAAAGTTAAAAAAAACTGCCAATATACTGTTTGTATGATTTCAATGTTTTCTGGGAGCAACTAATTTGTGACAGGTGAGAATATACTTTATGTTGTTTGACACCACGTTATAAGGCAGCCTGGGATTGGTGTTGGGCTGTTCTGTGTAATCAAAAAAAAATTTACGATGCGTTAGCTACTCATAAGCAACAAAGCCGTCTACCATGGTACTGCTAACAAAAATGTAGGGTTTGTGATTCATGCAGTTCTGTAGCCACGACAAACAAGGTTACGTTTACCGTGATGCCTGCAAAAGAAACTTTGACGAACGGGTCCACGAAGGCCTCCGATTCAGCCTTTGACGTGCGTATTCCTTTGAGAGTATCCGGATCCACTGGTAGAGGAGATGTGGGTTGTGAAAAACAGCGGAAGGTGCGAAAAACGGATTGTTAGTGGCGTAAGCGAAAATAATGAGTATGGCATGTAAACTAAATTCATTACCCTATTGGACCTTCAGCAGTTTCTAGTTTCACGTCTCTGGCTAACCTGGCCACTTTGGGACAACTGTGAAGCATGCTCCATTGGAGACACAAACTCGTCGATGTTTACAGATAAATCTGGCCTCGGGTTCGATCTCTCAACCAACTAGCGAATGCGTTACCGGCGGCAGGGAAGCACCAGTTTTGAACACTGATGTTATGATGCAGATGATGATGATGACCAGAAAACAACTGATTCCGCTCAAAGACAGTTGGGCCCACAATACCTTACAAGTGATGAATTAGCCAAATTGAATGGCCTGAATTAAGCACCGTTTTAGCACGTAGCTGACATGCAACTCGATGTAAGAGTGAGAGATACCGGTGCATACTACTGATAATGCGTTTGAGTAGTGTGTGACCTGGTGTCCAAGCTCCGTCTCTACATCTGTGGGAAGGTGAAGGTTACTACGGAAATTGTCAAACCACTTTGAAGCGTCCGTTCATTATTGCTCGGTGTTGGAAGAACGTCTAGGAAAGTTCAAAAGGATGCTTGCGGATGTTCACTTTCTAAAAACGCTGTGCAGATGAGATATTTACTTCAGCATCCGACGACTTGTACCCGCTTTATTCGTGTTAGCAGACAACTTCGCGGCAACGGGCACTTCTCCTCTCAAATATAAATGGCAGTGAGCAACCTGTGACAGTACAATAAGTAGCTAGCTATCGTGAGCTCAGCAAAATCTCATATCCTGTTCAAGTTGCGTGATGTCTGGTACTTCAGTTCGACCATCTTTGTCCCTCAAAGTCCATTATTTTAGTGTAACTATTCGTGCATCGCTTGTGGAGGCTCTTCAGTCGGTACCTTAGAAAATAACAACAAAAAAAGAAAGAGCAAGTCTTACTTTGAGGTAAATCTTCAGCTGAGTAGATGCGAATTTTAAAGATGGCTGGTTGTAGCTGAACTCCTGCAGGGCGCAGTAAATTTCTATAAAATGAAGTTGTCAGTCGCTTGAAATAGAGCACTCACGTTTCGATGTCATCCTTGTCTCCGTTTTCCACTTTCAGACTCTAAATTGAGGGGCAAAAGTTGAACGTGAACCAGTGAGCAAAAGTTTGTTCACAAAAGTTAGCGTGCTAAGAGCAGTTTTACTCGAACGCGTTTACCGTCTTTTGGCTTAACGGGATGAACCACACAGATGTAACTGAAATGATGATATAATTCAGTCTTTATTGTATGCAGCCTACACCTCAGAGTCTAACATAAGACGAATTATGCTGTAGAATCCAGAATTCTGTTCTTCCTGATTAGGTCAGTTGATACTACAATTTAGTAAACTGGTAAAACCGTTTCCATCTTCATCATTCCTTGGTCACATAAACCGGTTTTAACGACCTCTTGAGCTCTGTGTTTGATCTGTTTCTCACCAAGTACAACGACTGGTCGGATAAACTGTCGCAGCCATTAGAACAGTCAGTTAACGCAATCTATCCTTGTGGATCGTTCCATAGATTTTTAATAGTTTAGTGGCCGGGAACGGGCTGTGGGGAGTGCTCTCACAAACGTTTCTGGTTTTGTATAGATTTTTAATAGTTTAGTGGCCGGGAACGGGTTGTGGGGAGTGCTCTCACAAACGTTTGCTTCTGGTTTGGCCCCTAAATCCCTCAACACCGTCGAGGTTAGTCATTTGGGTGACTGGTCTGACCTGACTGTTCTCATCTGTTCCCTGGATGCCTCTAAAAATTCTATGTCAGGACAGTCCCTGATGTTACAGATGTATTATCTGTCTTCCCATGTTGGATGTGTTCTCACTCAATCGATGGACGGTTGCCCGGATTTCACCTGTAGATATGCACGCATCATTCAAACCTACAAACCGTAATACCCACGAACTCAGTACACTTTGCAGACACAGGGTTTTATTACCAGGCTTGAGGCTCTGGATTGATGTTGTATACTTTCTCATCTATAAGGTTGTAAGTCAACGAACAGACTACCACCGCGTAGTTCCATTTTCAACAGGCAGCAAAAATTCGTTTGACTAAATTCGTTTGCTAATCTTTCTGTCCGTTTTATAACCATAAGGGTCCAAGAATAAAAATTTCGACGTGTTCCATCCAAGCAGCTTCAGAAACGATGATCTATATTGTCTCTCTTTTCGCTGCCTGCCGTGTCAAAAGCGATAATGCACTCACACATCATTGAGAAATTCCCATATGAACAGGTCATAGTTTTTGAAAAAGTTTGATGACATCGGTAGATTTTATTGCTNNTTTCGCTCTTGACACAAAAGCTTCGTCAGGCCAAGTGACTGGGTTCCGAAGTTGGTGGAGATTTAAGGCGGAAGAAGAACCAATCAGCTATGTCAAGCTAAATCTCTGTTGGGTGCCGACCGAAGGATTTTAATGTGTTAGAGTGGTTGAACAAGTTTTGGGTCGGTGGGGATGCCTACATGTGTTTGGGTCTAGCCTAGGATCCAGTTTTGGTTCGGTTCATTTGATGGTCCCTCTTGAACTTCGTTTGAACATTCTGTCCGTCTGTGTGGGTGAGCTAGTGCTAAGATAGTTGTGTAAGAGGGATGCTGTGACCTTTGGTCAGGTTAAGATTTCTACGTGGATTGACAACCAAACCGTCACGTGTCAACTCAGCTCATCTAAAACAGCTTTCAATAAGCTCGCCAACTCCACACCCTCGATTCTATTCACTCTGTGATGGTTAGTAATTTCCACCGCCTCGGCTATCAGCCGCTGTGGTGTGAATCGCAAACCCCGTCTTAAAACTTCCACATTTTCCACATTCCACAGTGTCCCGTGTCTAAGGTCATAGTGCCTTTTCAGAAAACTGTATGCTAATAGCCCTTTTGAATTATGAGAACCAGTTCTGAAATAGGTGCTCCTGAGTAAATATCACGGTAAAATGACCACTGGCCCTCATAAACGACCGATTACTTCATTTATCCTATTTCAACCACACACTATTTACAGAATAATTACTTCACACGGGTCGCAAGTACGACGCTAAGGCACGCCTAAAGTTCATTATCCTGTAATCGATGTAAGGCGGTGTAAATCAAACAATATTGACCTCACTTTGCAAGTGAAACTTAGTTTGTGTGTAGGTTTTCCAAAAAATGCAGAGAATAACTGTGATCTCCGAATGCCCTCAATCCTATTGGGTGGAATAACCCAAGAGCTAACAGATTCCCGTTTGTAAAGCTGTTATATTATACTCAATGCATGGAACTCAGTTGTCTTGTTGATGCTGATAGCGATAAAGCAACCTGTATGGGTTTGTACAATAAAGCTTACCGGTGGTTCATCGCCCGGACCGACAATAACGACGGAAACCTTCAAGTAGCCTTTGCATCCAGACATTGTATCATCCGGATCGCACAATAACAACCACTTGTTGAGTAGGGCATGCTTGTCCTGGTCGTAGACCAGTCCCAAGTCAAATTTGAATGAACCAATCAGAGCATCTTTTCGCATCTTTTTCGAATGGTACACGCCAAATACAATGGGTTTTTCCAATAGCGTTGCTGCAGCCTCATAGAAGTTGAAGTAGAATGTCTCATCCCAGTATGGGGAATTCGTTTGACTTTTAACCTTGGTCTCCTTCTGACTTCCAGCACAGATGATTTTGCATACCGGAGGAATGTTGTTGCCTTGAAGTTGACGTGCTTCGACAACCTTCACACGAATCTAAACCAGGAAGAGTGCAAAATTAAAAAAAAGAGATCGATCCAGAATGGTTGCCAACCAACTTTAAGGTGCAGAACCGTAGGAAATGAGTTGGAGAAGTGCACGATTAGAAAAGATGCTTTGTAGAGTTTAGCTGCCCGTAAAAAGACCGTCAGTTATAGAATAATCGGCGGGTATCAGGAGTTTGGCGTTTATCCGTTGTGCAGCGCATGTTCACCGTGGTAATTCCATATTTGGAACTGTTTGCTAGTATGGCCACATTTGAGTAGTGTTCGACAACTAAATTATAGTAAAGTCAACACCAAGTCAAGGTTTTTCCCCGTAGTTATCAATCAGATGACTAGAGTTCCAACAACTCACATTGATTGTTTTTACAAAAACAACTACTGCATTAGTTTCCTCTGGAATGCTATTTGTAGCGCTTTCTAATTGAGTATCAGAGATTTTCATGGAGTTTCGCTCACGTTGACAAGCGGAAAATTATCCGTTTCTTTGGTGAGTTCAGCTCAGTTTTTCAGTTGACAAAACGTGCACTAAAGTGAAATGGTGTCCTCGGTTCACCGAGGATTGGGAGAATAAGATCATGAAGGCTATGCACTGGAGGCGACGGCCTAATCTGGACACTGGCGTCCGATGTAGTAGGGGTTGAGGGCGATAACTTTGCTGCATTGGGTGCGTAACAGAGTCACTAACCACTGATTCGTCTCGTCTGGTGGTGCTGATCCGGGAAAACGGCATTTACCAGCACAACTGAGTTGACGGGTGCAAACTATTGTGCATCGTTGCCAAGTCATGGACTGATCGCCCCTGGGTATGAACATGGATTTCTACCAGATACTGTTCCGCTGTTGGAGCGCGGCTGACGGCGGGGCAAGGTCACCACTATCCGCAATTTTAAGAGAAACTGTCGATCGATTAACAATGTGTCAAGACCTTTTTCGATATATCATATGGTAAAACTGCTCTCTTTGATCCGTTTACAGGGAGTAAAACCAGCAAACAATTTGCCGGCATTTTGTTCAACCAGATCAGCATTTGAGATATAAGGTACTGCTAGGCTTTTCGTGCAAGTGCTGCTATAGCGTCCCTCCAGGGACAACACATTCCACAGACATCTAAATTGCTTCTGAATGGAGACGTTTCATCTTAAGACCGGTGACTAATATGAACACGCTGACTTCCTCTGCACTGGTTTGACATTAAATCTAATGGGTGTTCCCAAATGATTTTGTTTGAGTGTCTCATGCTCATTTTCCTTACATATACGTGAGTCCGACGAACACTATGCTGACGAATTGATGAGCTTCAACATTGGTCGTCATCCGCTTTTATCTACATAACTGTGTGCCACCTGGTCGCCCCGAATAAGAACGAGGAAACTAACTGTGTGAAGAAGACACGGGTGAAAAATAGAAGTTAACTATCACGAACGGGATCAATATTGGGGTGACATCCTATCCTCACTCCTGTGTCCTGTCTTCACTACCCTCAGTCAGTAGTAAAATGTCTGAGGCGTTTCGAACTCTTGTCATACTAAACGGTCGATCGAACCAAGGTTTTTCAAGAACAGCTGGTCATCATTGTGGGAGACTGCAACAGTTGTGCTAGTGATATTGGTCCTTTTCACTTGACTTTCGAATAGTGGGCGTAACATGAAATTCGAGGCCTTGAACATCAATCTCATAGAATCACTAGCAAATGGTCTAAGATTTCTTTCGGAACGAAAGAAATTTCAACGCACAAAAACGGGTTGAACCATTTTAAATTCCCGATTAATCGACGATGAGTAGCCTTTATTTTCGTCTCATCATCATCACCATCCACAGTATAACATCAGCAGTCAGCACTGATGCCTCGCTGTTGTGCAACTACGCTCTAATTCACTCCTCTAAGATGATGAAGTTTTGACTGCCCCATCTTATTTTTCGTAGAAGAATCTTCAGGTGGGTCGTCAGTTGAGAAACAAAACGTTTGGATGGCGCGGAGTGATGATCACGCAAAATCAAAACAAGACTATGCTCGTGAACACCTTCGAGAATGTTCGAAGTCTTTTTCTGGCAGGAAATATTCTCTCCTACAGGGGTTCGGTCTTCCAGACTGCGAAGTAATCGAGAACACATAGGTTTAGAAACTGCTCTCTTTGATCCGTTTACAGGGAGTAAAACCAGCAAACAATTTGCCGGCATTTTGTTCAACCAGATCAGCATTTGAGATATAAGGTACTGCTAGGCTTTTCGTGCAAGTGCTGCTATAGCGTCCCTCCAGGGACAACACATTCCACAGACATCTAAATTGCTTCTGAATGGAGACGTTTCATCTTAAGACCGGTGACTAATATGAACACGCTGACTTCCTCTGCACTGGTTTGACATTAAATCTAATGGGTGTTCCCAAATGATTTTGTTTGAGTGTCTCATGCTCATTTTCCTTACATATACGTGAGTCCGACGAACACTATGCTGACGAATTGATGAGCTTCAACATTGGTCGTCATCCGCTTTTATCTACATAACTGTGTGCCACCTGGTCGCCCCCGAATAAGAACGAGGAAACTAACTGTGTGAAGAAGACACGGGTGAAAAATAGAAGTTAACTATCACGAACGGGATCAATATTGGGGTGACATCCTATCCTCACTCCTGTGTCCTGTCTTCACTACCCTCAGTCAGTAGTAAAATGTCTGAGGCGTTTCGAACTCTTGTCATACTAAACGGTCAATCAAACCAAGGTTTTTCAAGAACAGCTGGCCATCATTGTGGGAGACTGCAACAGTTGTGCTAGTGATATTGGTCCTTTTCACTTGACTTTCGAATAGTGGGCGTAACATGAAATTCGAGGCCTTGAACATCAATCTCATAGAATCACTAGCAAATGGTCTAAGATTTCTTTCGGAACGAAAGAAATTTCAACGCACAAAAACGGGTTGAACCATTTTAAATTCCCGATTAATCGACGATGAGTAGCCTTTATTTTCGTCTCATCATCATCACCATCCACAGTATAACATCAGCAGTCAGCACTGATGCCTCGCTGTTGTGCAACTACGCTCTAATTCACTCCTCTAAGATGATGAAGTTTTGACTGCCCCATCTTATTTTTCGTAGAAGAATCTTCAGGTGGGTCGTCAGTTGAGAAACAAAACGTTTGGATGGCGCGGAGTGATGATCACGCAAAATCAAAACAAGACTATGCTCGTGAACACCTTCGAGAATGTTCGAAGTCTTTTTCTGACAGGAAATATTCTCTCCTACAGGGGTTCGGTCTTCCAGACTGCGAAGTAATCGAGAACACAACCAATAGGTTTAGATTCTTCACTTTGTTGGTTCGTATTTTTTGAAGTTTACTGACCAGATTTTTCCAGCTTTGCGTGCTTTGAAAAAAAGAAATCAAGCACTCACCCCCAGTCTCTGCCACTGATTTTCCCAGATCTATAAACGTTATCTGTAGGCTAAACTTGTCGGTTTGCACGAAAGTGTAACATCCAGGGCGTCAAAGTGTTTCCACATTCTGCTGCTGTACACAGTGTTACTCCAACGACATAGAAGTCTGCCCTCCTGCCCTCTTGTCTGTTGACTGATGATTCGTGTCAGTTACCTGCCTGTCTTGTTTCTTCTGCAAACAGATACTGTGATCAACTTTATGGCATTATATTCAGGGACATCTCCCAGGACGTTATATTCCCAGGCCCCTACGTGCGAGCTATTTTATCCCGCTACGCTTTAATGTGAAACTCCAATCAATTACCGTACAAGTGGAGATGATGTTATCTGGCCCAAGCCATTAGTATGTGTAAATAAGAGCGATATTTGTAAACGTCATTCCACTTGTCTTGCGAAACGGTTTTGCAGTAACCGGCAACTGTTCCAGGACACTACATATTCATACGGTTGCACCGAGGGATGAATGGAATTATGGAAAAACATGATCAGCGCATGAGGAAGAAAACACTTCAGTGTTTTGTGAGATATTTGAAGGACTGGACTGTATTCTGTTATCAAAGCTAAGTTCTAGTGAAGTCCCTGTTTGTATTTCAAGGCAACAGCTAAGGGGTATTTGGGGGTGATGTGACCCGGTAGAAAAGGGTCAGATACTATATGCAGTTGAACTACGGAACTGAACTGAAAAACGGTCGATTTCTGGGCCATGTAATTATTGAACTGGGTCACCAGAAGATGCTGTTTTGCTTTTTGTTATAGTCTGTCCGTGGATCTCTTCATGCCCGGTGAAAAAGTGTTGGAGAATCGGACTTCCCCATTCTTTGGTAATAAGTAAAATCTAACGGTTCTGCAAAGTCTCGGTGTTGTGGTTCGATCCAAGAGCTACAGTTGTTTTCTTATGATTATCATAGATATAATAACGGTTTTTTAATGACAGATCCAACAAACTTGAAAACCTTCAAAACAATTTCATCAGTAGTGGTGTACAGAAATGAAATGACGAGGCGGGATGCTAACGGTTAGGATAATCAATTAATCTCATCCATTCCAGCTATCATTTCGGACGAGTGATTGAATTAGGTGAATAACGTGAATCGCGGACCAAAAAAATACGGCACAGAATAGTTAAACATGTAGGAAATTTCATCGNCTGCTATATATATATATATATATATATATATATATATGTATGTGGTTGGCTGACTGTGCCCCGATAAGGAACCGCCGCTCGACAGGGGTCGGACCACTGGACGTCTGTGCATAGGTTCGCTAACTCTAACGGTTTGCGCAGCACAAGATGTAATATTGGTTGCAAATATACAAATCCGATGCAAGCTGAACCATTACGATTGACAGTAAAGCAGACAGTGGCCTGATGCGGTTACCTGTGGTGGTTGAAGTACACTCACGTTACGACGAACCTCCGTCACATTGAACTCTCCTCCGACCCCATCTGGCTTCCGCCACAGTTTGGAACTGAACTTTGGACATCAGTTTGGAGTCTGATATTACCTCCTGAATGAATGCTTGGTTTGTATTTTGGAGGCCGAACTCAATTGCTCC